CCATGTTGCTTATTTTCCCTTCTGCCTCCCCAGGTGAAGCCCACAGCTGTCAAAATCACCTGAGGGAGTCTCTCTGTTGTTATGCTTCCAGTGTTTCTGCCAAGGATGTCACTTTCTTACGTGCTCAAGTTTCCTTGTGCCAGGGTGATGTTGGCCTCTTTCCATCAGGCCCTCTAACCAGCTCAGCACCACCCTGGGCCCAAAATCATCCTTCCTGTGCTCCACGTTCCCCTAAATCAGAAAGCAGCCCCCTCAGCTCACTTACTCCTCTAAGGACCTCAGGACCATTCCTGTGTCTTCATCCTCTAACCAAAACAGACACCCCTCGTTTCCATAACACCAAGCCACCTTTCCACGAGCTAGTGCACACTCAACCCAGAAAACAACCTCCCATTCTCCTCTTCCTAAGCCCCATCCCCAAATCAGAAAAGGCTACAGAAACACAGCTTTAACGCAACCATTTGACTGTCAAAGTGCACACTTATCTTCTCATGCTAAAATAATCATCTTAATTTCAGATGTGCAAAATTTCCCCCCAAATTGACCTTGGCTGAAACAAAGAAATAAACCAAGAAAAAGGAAGATATGGAATCCGGGAAGCAGAGAACCCAACACAGAATAGACATGAAGGGAATTCCAAGGAAAACAGTGAAGGGAAACAGGTCCACATCTGTGCAACAGACATGGAGCTGGAAGACAGAGGGCTGGGGGAGAGGTGCCCCCAGGAAAGGAAAACACAACAACCAAAAGCAGTGGTAGATTTCCTGATAAGTTTGACCTCGTGAAAATTAGGAAAGATTTAGCCATGGGTACAGAGAAAGGTAAGCAAATGAAAAAATAAGGCATTAAACTCCAGGAAAAATAAAAAGTTGTACCCTTTCATCCAAAGGAATTGTAGTCATGGTACACTAGTAGCTACCAGAGAACAATATTTATATAGTAATAATATGTAAATGCTAAAAACTAATTTAACTAAAACTTGGTAATTTGGGTGGGAATTGGAAGAGAGAGATTTTAGAGGTAAATGATAGAAAGTTAATCATTATGATTTCAATATAGGAGTGTAAGCATGGAAATATGGAAGTATATTCCAAAAGACACAGATATGAATTGAAAGTAGATGCTTCAAGGGAACAAAACAGGGTCCTGAAAAGGTGACAAGGCACCATGAAAACCCTGCCATTGCTATTTGACCTGGATTATATGCTTGTTCCAATTCAATAAAAACAAAAATTAGGTGTTAATAATCTGTCTTCCTTTCTAGGGGAAGAAAATATTACTTCCATATTGAAATCTTGCTTCTAGATAAAAAGTGCTTAGTGCTTTGTAAAAACAGAATTGAAGTAGAGCCTTGTCTTGTGTTTTCAACATCTACCCAAGTGTCAAAATTCTGAGGACACTCTATAATATATGAGAGGGGGACCCCCCAAAAAAAGAATTTTTTATAAAAAATTGTGTATTTATCCGTAGCTGGTGTGGCTCAATGGATTGAGCACCAGCCTGTGAACCAAAGGGTTGCTAGTTTGATTCCCAGTCAGGGCACATGCCTGGGTTGCCTGCCAGGTCCCTAGTTGGGGGCATGAGAGAGGAAAATACACACTGATACTTCCCTCCCTCTCTTTCTCTCTTCCTTCTGCTCTCTCTAAAAATAAATAAATAAAATCTTTAAAAAAAAAACCCTAAGTATACTATTAATAAATCAGTCATATTTTTAAAAATTGTGTATTTATTCTTACATGTTTAAAGTTCAGCCACCTTCCAAATACTCTCCCTTTGATGCAATTCACCTATTGAGACTTTTTTCCCCCACTGCTCAAAACAGTTTTTGAACTCATCAATTTTGATGCCTTTTGGTGCTTCTGCCATTTTTTGTTTCACCTCTTTCACATTCGCAAAACATTTCCCTTTAAGGACTTTTTCATCAGGGAAACAAACAAAGAAAAGTCACTTGGGGTGAGATCAGGCGAATAGGGAGGGTGGGAGATGGGGGAATCATGACATTTTTGGTTAAAAACTGCTGAATACTCAGTGCAGTGTGGGCAGGTGCACTGGTAAATCACCTGTCATGAAACGGGCAAATGCATGGAGTCTTCCAAAAAAATTCACTGAAGCCAACCACAGCCTCTCACAACAACTCCAGTTGGTACACTGATACAGGTGGGTTCCCAGAATACTCACCTAGCAGGGGAAGCCTGTCTTATAAGGGTCCTGCCCTCCAGAAGATAATTCCGGGGTTTTTTTTTGGTCCCTCTTCATATAGGTTTCCAGATAGTGAACTCTGACAACATAAACAGTCTCTTATTTGTATCTGTATGGGTCTCGGAGCCCATACAGGGCCTGGCACACAGCAAGTCCTCTATGCTGTTGAATGAAGGAAAATTAAAGAGGTATCTCAAAATAAAATCTTTTGACTTTCCTGTTCAGCAGTGAACTTTCTAGTATTTCCATGCAGACAATTCCCACCACCTTTTCCTTGTTCCAAGGACCCGGGGACAGAAACCTCCAGGGCAGTGGCAAGAATGAAATTCAGAGCTCAAGAAGCACTTCCTGGCTGCAGTAGAATGAGAAGCGTCCTCTTCTTCCCTGGAAATTTGTTGGATTTGGAAGTTTATCAAGAGGTGCTTTGAGGCAGGAGGAGAGACTGTGACACCATTTGAAGCAGAAAAAAAGTTTGCATTTTGATCTTTGTGGAGCTGTACTCCTCCACAAAGAGAACTAGGTTGAATCTTTGCTACTTGTTGGGCTTCAGGGAGGGGCAATTTTCTCATTGGTCCAATGGGGAAAGGGCCTCCACCTCCTCTCTTGTGCCTCTTTGGCCAGTTGCTGTGGGCACTGCAAGTTAAGAATGGATAAGAATGTGCCAAAGTACTGTCAACCCAATCATTATTCAGTAATTTCAGGCACAGTAGACACCAGGGATTCATTCAGTCAGCCAATCATTCAACAAATATTAAGTGAAGAGCTGTTATGCGTCAGGCAAATGCATTCCAACTCTTGCTCAAAGGGGTTAACAGCCACAGAGGGAGTCTAACCAGGGTGAATTATACCAGACTGTGCAGGCCTATCGACCTTCCTCTAAAGACAGCCTCCCTACCTTCTCAGATGTCCTGCACCCTTCCGTTCCATGAGCTGCCAGCTTTCCGCCCTCACCTGCATCACCAGCCAGAGCCTTAAACTCTTATATCTAAGAAATGTGCATCAGACATGTCCAATGTGCAAATCACACTCAGCCTGGCCCCAGGGCACAGTGATCCCCTCTCCACCTCTCCCCACATCTAATCTAGACCCTACTAGACTGGGAGTCCTGGGGCAGAGGAGTTTGGGGAAACCTTATGCTTAGCATTTGGGTCAGCACCAGAGAGTAGGATAGGGTCAAAGGCCCTCACACAACCACCTTGTGTCTCTGCTCAGTGCTGCCCTGTCCTTGGTGCTGGGCACAGTCCTGAATCAGTTCAGGTCCCTGCTGCCCCAGCTCCCAATTTAAAGACAAGGGGCACAGCTGATGGCGCGGTGCCTAGCTCCACAAGTACAGAGGTGGGATGTGGTTCTGCAGCCTGGCCCCACCTTTGAAATAGGGAGCTTCATGCCCAGTGCCTTTTCTCCAGAATACTGTATACTAACCACCAGCAAATTTTGTTAAAATGCAGAATCTGATGATTCAGTGGATCTGAAGTGGAGGCTGAGATTCGGCATTTCTAATACGGTGAGGGTCCATGGACTACACTTTGAGTCCAAAGTTATGGAGCACTTATCTCATTTCTCCAAGGAGTGATTGGTAATGTCTCTTCCCCATTGGTCCCTAACCACCATAAGGCAGGGCTCTTGCCCATTTGTTTAGTGATGTATTAATTCCCAAAGCCTAGCACAGTACATGGCACATTCAATAAGGAGCTGTAGGGGTGGCCACTGCTCCCTTACCCGTGGAAGCTGGAAGTAATCACACACAGCCAAAAAACCCACTGGCCAAATACACTCATGTGCACACCCATTTCATCTCTACCAGTCTCTGGGATGCAGCAGGTGGTGACATTTACTAAGCCTACTATGTGCATGGGTACAGTTAATCCCACCCTAATCCTACTTCATGAACCTCTGGCTGATGATCCACGAGGGGCTCACACTGTGTGACAACCAAAGATCCTGAACAAAGCTCACCCACTATCTCCCCAGACCACTCCCCCAAGGCACCAGCCAGCACACCAAGCCCAGAGAAAGCTTTCTTTCTTTTTAATCAGACCAGCTTTAATTAAAAAAAAAAACAAAAAAACAAAACAAAAAAAAACCTAATGAGTCAGTCCTAAATCTTCCAGATGGTGGGTAGCCTACTAACTCCCTTTCAGTCAGGAGCCCCTGGTGCTGCTTGTCTCAGAAATCTCAAAACTGTCCTCAGGGCCTGAAACAAGGCAGCCAGGTGTGTCTGTGTAGAAGGGGGGAGCACTCTCCCAGCAGGAAACTGAGGACAGACAAGAGGGATTGGGGATAAACTTGTGGGAAATGAAGGGAAGAGAGCAAGGAAGTCATGAACCCAGGAGTCTGACCTCTCATGTGTTAGAAAAACCGGAGGGAGCGAAAGTAAGGAGCCAGTCCGGAAGGCAGCTTGAGATGGAAGGCCTGGCTTCTGAAGGCTTGGAATTCGCCAGAAACCTGGGGTGGAGGTTAATGGGTAGTGATCCAGCTCAAGGACCAACAGCAGCGCGGGGCGGGGGCGGGGAGGGGGGGTGGCGCGTAGGTGGGGCTCACAGTGGAAGACCAAATGTGGGGCTCACATATTGGGCGTGTGTGTATGTGTGTGTGTGTCAATCCGATTAGAAGAAGATGGTAGGATTCTCCCCATAGATGGGATACAGAGAAGAGGTAACAGGTGTGCTCAGTCCAAGAGGCGAAAATGGGGAGCTCAGAGGTGGGCCTAAGCCAAGAGGAGATGGGACGCCCCTCCCTGGCAGCACCCCAGTCCTGGGGGCGAGGGAACCCGCAGGTGGCCCCTGCCCGTGGGGAAGGGCTCACAGATAGCGCTCCAATCCGGGCGTGTAGCCAGGCTGCTTCAGGTAGGCCTCCCCCGGGCCGAGCGGGCCGAGCGCGCCTGGCGGCCCCCCAAACGGCAGCAGTGGCTCGGCGGGAAGCGGGCCGGGGCCCGGGCGCGCCGCGGGCAGCCCCAGGCGGTCGGGGGCTGGCTCGTAGAGAGGCGAGGAGGCGGCGGCCGCGCAGGATGGGAAGGCGGCGTCGAGCGCGGCACAACAGGGCGGCTCGGGGGCTCCCAGCCCCGCCAGCTCGGGCGGCAGGCTCACCAGGCTGTCGACGCTGAAGAGGCGCGCGGGCCCGGGGGCGACAGGGAGCGGCGCGAGCAGCCCGGGGCCAGCCGGGAAGGGCGCGTAGGGGCCGGGCGGCGGGCCGGCGGCGGGCCCCGGAGGGTTGGGCGCGGGCGCGGGCGGCTCGGCGCGCTTGAAGCGCTTGCGGCGCCGCAGGAAGCTGCCGTTGTCGAACATGTCGGCGGCCGCCGGGTCCAGCGTCCAGTAGTTGCCCTTGCCCGGATTGCCCGGCTCGCGGGGCACCTTGACGAAGCAGTCGTTGAGCGTGAGGTTGTGGCGGATGCTGTTCTGCCACTTGCGCGGGCTGTCGCGGTAGAAGGCGAAGCGCTCGGTGATGAAGCGGTAGATGGCGGCCAGAGTGAGGCGACGGCCGGGGGCGTGCGCCAGCGCCATGGCGATGAGAGCGATGTATGAGTAGGGCGGCTTCCCGCGCTGCAGGGGCCGCCGCCGCCGCCGGCCCGGGCCGGGTGCGGGCTCCGGCTCCCCGCGGCCCGCGGCCCCCTCCTCGGGCTCCGGCCCGGGCTCGGCTCCGGCGAGCGGCGAAGGCGGCGGCCCCGACGGCGCGACCGAGGGCAGGGCCGGGAAGCCCGAGAAGGCGGCAGGGGGCTCCATCTCGCTGCGCCCGGTCTCTGGGACGGGGCAGCCCCTGCCGGCGCTGCGCTGCTCCGAGAGAGCAGGGGCCGCTGACCCGCCTTATATGGACACAGCTCCCCTTCCCCGCCCCCTAGCCAGGGCAGAAGGCTCCGACCTTCCCCGCTGGCCCGCGCCTTCCCCCTACTTTGCTCTCCCTATCCCCTTGCCAGGCTCCCTGCCCCCTGCCCTACATTTTGCCCCTCCCTTGGTCAGTCTTTTCCAGCCTCAGCCTCATCCCTTCCCCATATCCCTCGGATCAGTCCCTGGCCCTGGCGATTCGTCAGTTCCACCGAATTCATCAGCTCCCTTTCCTTTCCGATGATCTTCAACTTCCTTCCTTTTGAATCAACGCCAATCACAAATGCACCCATTTAGCCCACTCTCTGGGCCCCCTCCCCATTACGCTTTTTCCAGTTGAAGCCTGTCCCCTCCATCCCTCTCTTCTAGCCTCCACCCTGTCCTCCAGCCCTCGCTGAGGCAGAGATGAGAGTCGCCCACGCTGCCTTGCCAGCCTTCACCGTCCTAGCAGCGCTGGTCAGGGCAGTGTCAGGCCCGCCCTCAGACGCTTGGCAATGGAGAAGGGTGGGGTGGAGAGGAGAAAGGCTGAGTGAGGAAGCTGGCTTTGTCTCGGGGGAGGATGTTTGGTGGATCTATCGTCACCATCTCCTCTCTATCCTGTCCCCCCTCCCCACCACAACCCTGTTGGCATCCAGGACACTTGTGAGCATCCTTTGAAAAGTGGCAGAAGATTGACTGCTTTAAATTCAGAGCCCTGAAAATCTTTAGCTTGGAATTGTCTTTCTGGCTGCCTCTTCCCCATGTCCCTTCCATTCTAGAAAAAGGGCTTCCTTGCTCACGCACACAGTTTGCACGCTGGGAAGTTGCACAGAACACGACCTGTGCAGCCTGAAGTTCCAGGGAGCAGTTACTGGTCAGAGAAAGACCCCCAAGTGCTTCCACAGGCTGGAGGTCTGAGAGAGCTGCTTACAGACACAGAAATGTGACACACAGTCTCAGCAGGGCTCAAGGGAGGGGGACCTTAGCAGTTTTTATTAAAAACTCACTCTGGGAAGTGCCAGCCACCAGCACTATCCAGAGCCTTTTTCAGGAAACCCCTCAAGAGTGACAGGAGAGACAACCCTGGCTTGGAGGAAACCAAAGGATAGAATCTTGTCTTAAAGAGGTTTTTGTCTTGGGTACAGGCAAGATCAAGGGAGCAGGGCTGGGGGTCGGACAAGCAAGTGGCATTCCCAAAACAAATTTAAGGGCATATTCACTCTCAGGGTGGTGTGAGTGCAAGGCCAGTACTTGAGAGCCAGCCTCCTTAAATTTGGACCCCTAGGTGCCTCACCCTAGTTCTGGCCTCTGGGTATAATGGGCTCGTGGCCTAGGGCTTCAAAATCCACACTTGAGATTCAAGGGCCCCCCTCCCTCAGCTCCACTCTCAGCTGATACTATAACAGCCATCATTTTATACCCATTATCTCACTTAAGTGTGAATACCTTGTGCTGTAGGCACTGTTATCCCTGAGGGGTTGAGTGACTTACCTGTTCTCAGACAGCTAGTAGCAGAGCTGGAATGAAACCCAGAGTTCAGAGCACCAGCGCCATGACTTTTCTAAAAACATCATATTTTAAATCTGAGCCTGTAGAACTAATTTACTGTAGAGTTCTTCTAGCCCTCACAGCTTTAGTTGCAAAGTTGATGCCTAGCCTCTGTCCTGACCTCCAGGTCAGCATATTCCAAGTGTCCACTGCACATCACCCTCAACCTCGGATACCCCCAACCCAAACCTGCTCTCCTTCCTCGGCAAATGCATCCCTTGCCCCTTACCACCCAGATCAGAAATACGATCATCATCTTGGGCTCCTCCCTCCCCCATCACTCCCATATCCAGGCAACCTGCAAGGCCCGTCAACCACATGGATTCCAAATCCATCCCTCCTTCAGTTCTCCTGCCTCAGCTTAGCCCACATCATTCCTTGAGCACTTTTGTGCCAGGCCCTTTGCCAGTTCTCAAGGAAGACAGAGGTGAAGATACAGTCTGGTGGAGAGGAGGACACAGGCAATTACAGCTATGAGACAGGTGGGCGGCGGGGTGGAGGGCCCTGTAGAAGCAGAGAGGAAGGAGATGACACTCGGAGATCTAAAGACAACCCCCATCCCACAGTGAAGAGTCAGCTGGTTTATACACGAACAGGTCCCACCCCATACCCTCGCCACCTTGTGTACTACTGCCTGAGCACAAGTCATACGGAGCAGAAGACAGTGCTATCACAGCAAGCAGCTCACCAAAGAAGGCAAGACAAGCAACTGCAGCAAGCTTCCTCACCTGCCAAATGGGGACAAAATGAACCCTCAGCATTGTTATGAGATTCAAATGAGATCATGTATGAAAGGGCCTGGCCCACACTGCCCTTGGTAACAGGAGATCCAGAATTAAACCAGGGGATGAAGGAGAGAGGCAGAGCCAGAGAACTGATTTCAGCGCCTGCGTATTTTCACATGGATGCGCCATAGTGCTGCAGTTAGACTCAGGCACAGAACAAGAGCAACCATCTTTCTCACCTTCCCCAGGGCTGAAGTCCCCTCTGAAGCCCCCTACCACAGCTGCTGTCTCACACCTCCAAATTAGGGGTGGGGAAAAACAGCTCTTAGCTCCATGTCAGACTGCAAAGTTCTTGTACTCTCAATTTTCTGTTTCATGTGCAGAAATTTCTGGGACAGAGTATATGTTCAATAAATGATACTGAGTGTACAGTTGGCTGTGCCAGTCCTGGGGTGTGTCAGGGCAGGGAGCTGGACCAAAAGGGTGAGAACCCAGACTTTGCCAGTTCTCTGTGTCTTCCTGGCTGCTTCCAATGGGCCTGCTTCCCAGGGCTGAGCAGGCCAGTGTCAGGGGTAGCCCAAGGGCTAATCCGTGTTTTCAGCGTGGCTGGGCCCTCTTTTCACAGGCCCTGGGCCAGACGGGATGTGGCTGAGCATCCGGGCATAAGATGGCCAGTGAAGGCGGCCCCTTTCTCATGGCCTGAATTCCAGGCGGCCCAGTGTCTGAGTGGAGCCCCTGGGGCAGGAGGAACACAGTGGCTGGACTGGGCAGTCCTTTGTCTGACCGTGCTGGGTGGATATTCGGACTGGCAGGAGGGATTAATGGCCAGGGATTGGCCCTGGGGCTGGCCTTCCCACTGCCCTTTGGAGGCCAAAGGCCCAGGTCAGGGCACACAGCATTGATGGCTCCCTAGATAGGATTGGAAATTCCCACCCTGCACAAAGCTGTTAGCATTAGCCCCCAAGGCTCCCTGCCCCCAGACCCACCTCAACAGAGGCACCGCAGCCAAGATGCACTTCAAGGCAAGGAGCAGAGGGGTGGGGGCCAGAGCTTCTCAGCTACTCTGCCAGGGAGAGGGGGCTTAGTCTGAAAGTCAGTTCAGCTCCTTACCCTGAGATTTGCAGCCCCACCAGAGCTCTGGGGCAAAAGAGCTATGTTAATCCAACAAGGGTCCAAGGGGCCAGAGTGAGCTGCTGCCAGACCCCTTAAAGCTTTCTGAAATATCCCCAAAACACCTCTAGTTTAACACTGCTCTATCCATAGTTATTTATTCCTAAAGTCCTCCATCACATCTCATAGCCAAAAGGCTGCTAAAAGGGCTCAGGAACCAAAGGAAATCTCAGGGATACCCCCACCCTACCCCCTGCCACCCAGGGACTCTGAGGGCTGCTGCAGGACCCCTCCCTCTTACCCCCGCAACTAGAACTGCCTCAGATACTGCTCCTTCCTCAGAAGCCTGGGGTAGACAGTTCCAAATGGGCTGGGGGCATGCTGGAGCCCATTCTGGCATGGACTGTTCTAACCAGGCTGCTCCTGAACTAGGGATGGCAGCAGCAGCCCCAGCCTTACCTGAAGGGGCTGACTCCTGTGGAGGGCACGCCCTCTGGGCCGAGGAGCCCGAGCCAGGCTCAAAAAGGAGAAAAGTGTAGGCCTGACTCTGGGGAGAGCATCAGGGAACAGCTCAGAAGGAGGATGGCCCTCCTTGTGACTTTATTCTGTAAGAGCTTCCGTTCAGCAAATCCTAAAGATCTGTGGCCAGGCCATCCTGGGTATGGGTCAGTGATGAGTCAGACTCTTCCTTCACTGTGCTAAGGAGGGGACAGCCACGCAGTCACTTCCCATACATGGTGGCCACTGTGTAACATGGGCAGAGAAGGAACTTGTAGAGGCTCAGAAGAGGGGCCTCAGCTAGCCAGGAAAAACCAGGAAGTCTTCTTGGAGGAGTAAAGCTCCAGCTGGCCAGGTGGGGCAGATGCTAGGCTGCATAAGGGGCTCCTTCTCTGTGCTCCCATCACATCTCTGCCACTGCACTTACCTTATTGACTCTTTGTATGTCTGTCCCCTGTACTAGACTTAGGCACTATGTCTCAGTATAGTGCCTGACACAAGCTGACGGTCAATAAAGATGTATCAGACAGCTGCAAGGACAGTTGGATTCCAGGAAAAGAAAATTGTGGGTGCAAAGCTCTAAAGGGAGCCCTAAAGGGAGGATTTGGTCCATTCTGGGAAGTGTAAGACTTTCAGTGGTTTTTCCATTAAGAACAAGCTAAAAATATGTGTAAAGTTCTCAGGACACTGCCAGGCATGTACCAATACCCTGTAAGTGTAGGCTGTTGTGGTTGTCACTATTGTGATTCATGGTGGTTAATGTAGAGAGTCAAGGAACCTATACAAAGAAAGTAGATGGGATCAGACTGTAGATGACTTGATTTGCTAGCCTAAGGAGCTCAGATCCTTCTAGAAACAACAGGGAGCTTTTGAAATTCTTCAGCATAGGAATGGCACTGTTACACCCATTGTTTAGATTAGTGTGGCAGCAGATAGGCTAGAGAGGGAAGAGGCTGGAGGCTGAGAGAGCGGAAGAGAGGCTGAGATCATGAGGAGGTGTGAACCGAAGCTCTGTTTCTGGGGGCCGCACCCGACCCTTCATTCCCATTC